CTTGAACTCTGGGCCTGGGCGCTGTCCCTCAGCTCTTCAGCTCAAGGTGAGCGCTCTACCACTTGAGCCACAGCGCCACTTCCGGTTTTCTAGTGAGATAGGAGTCTCACGGTCTTTCCTTCCCCGGGCTGGCTTTGAACCGCGATTCTCAGATCTCAGCTTCCTGAGTAGCTAGGATTACAGGCGTGAGCCACCGGCGCCCGGCTCTCTCACACTTTCTTGTCTGGGCTGACTTTGAATTTCAATTCTCAAATCTCAGCCTCCTGAAGATTATAGATGAAGCCACCAGTGCCAGCTTGTTTTTTTTTTTTTTTAATTGGTCATGGGGTCTGAACTCAGTCTAGATGCTGTCCCTCAGCTCTTCAGCTCAAGGTATTAAAGGGTAGGCAAAATATTTGTATTACACTTTGTACATGTATACATACAATTTTATCTATGGAAGTGCTGATTGCAGATGGGGCCACATTATTTTGACCACTCAAAATCCAGTTTATATAAAAAATTGGCTTTTGTGTGATAGAATCACTTTTTTAAAAATTTGTTAGTACTTAAAGCTGTGCTCTAGCTCATTTGCTTAAGTCTGATCCTTTAGCACTTGGGCCGTACCTCTATTTCTAGCTTTTTTGGTAGTTTATTGGAGGTAAAAGTCTTGTGGACTTTCCAGCCCAGGCTGACTTTGAACAGCACTCCCCAGATCTGAGTTTTCTGAATAGCTAGGATTATCAGCATGAGCCACCAACACCTGGCCTAGGATCACTTTTAGACTTTCCCCTGTTCCTATTCCTGGACAATGTTAAGCAGCATGAACTTACTTTCAAATGCTGCTTTAGACTGTCTTTGTGGTATTTCATAAGTAAATCAGTTTTCTTGCAGCCTGTATTTGTAATTGTTCACTGAAAATGAGAGCTAAGAAACTGAAATCATAGAAGTACTTATCTGCTATTTGCCACTTATTTCTATGTGGAAGTCAATGTCCTCATCCTGTCTGTCTGATCTGTCTAGTGGTACTGGGATAGAGCTCAAGGCCTTTGTCATTGCTAGGGAAGTTCTGTACTGGATTATATCCCCAGTCCTTCAGTTTATTTTAAAATAATTATTGGCAATATGATAATTGTCCAAAGTAGCGACAGATAAGAAAGGATAGCAGTGTAGCTCAATGGTAGTGTCTGTACATAGGCAAAAAAAGGTTAATTCTTCCAAAAAACTCGAAGTGGATTTGTGACTCAAGTGGTAGAGTGCTAATTAGCCTTGAGCTAGTGCCCAAGGCCCAGTTCAAGCCTTCAAGCTCAGGACTGGCATGCATACACTCATGCAAAGTTAATTGTAGGGTTAGTTATAATTGTACACATATGGCTAATATATGAATAGGAAAGTAAGTTAAGTCATGTGTCTATAATAGATCAAATAGCCAATAAATTATTAATGCTAATTTTTTGGGAAATACTGGAGCTATGCTGTGTTGGGGAGAAGGGAAGCAGGCAGGTCTTCCTATTTTACAGTTAAAATTGAGCTTTGGAGACATAGTTAAGTATATTTGTTTCCCCTTATCCACAGTGTTGTTTTCCATACTTCATTTACCCAGTTTAATGTAGTCCTAATGTAGTTCACATTGTAGAAATAAGCAATTCCTAAGTTAGGAATCTTAAAATGGTTCTAAGTCTCACGCTATCCTGTGCATGTACACTATCACTCAGCCATCTACATTATTAAACTGACTATTGTAGTACCAAAGTGTTATTAGTCAAAGTTTTTCAGAAGATAAAATGTACATGAGATTTTACTTTCGTTTTTTGGCAGTACCGAAGATTTAACTCAGGGCCTCATGCTTACTAGGCAAGTACTCTTATCTGAGCCACACTAGCCCTTTTAGTGTTTAATTTTGTTTAATTTTATTTATTTATTGTAAAAGTGATGAACAGAGGGGTTACCCTTACATAAAATAAGGAGATGAATACATTTCTTTTTGGACACTTACCCCCTTCCTCATTATCTGTCATTTTCCTCTCCCCATTCTCTTTTCCCCGCAAGTTATAAAGTTCATTTCCAACTTAGTGTCTAGTGAGTATCATTGTTACATTAGTTCATCCTTTGTCCTGCTGTTTCTGTGATTCCCCTTCCCTTCCTTGGATCAGATAAACAATATACAAGATAAAAGGTACCGCAAACAAAACAACAAAACAAAACACAAAAGAGTTATTTTTGAGGTAGGGTCTTGATATATTCCTAGGCTAATCTGGACTGTGATTCTCTTATTTGTGCTTTTCATGTTACTAGGATAACAGGTACATGCCACCACATCTAGCCATTGGTGGAGATGTCATCTTGTAAACTTTTTTTTTTTTGCCTTGGTTGGCTTTTGAACCAAGATCCCTTTATCTCCACCATCAAGTAGCTAGCATTACAGGCTTGAGCCTTGGCACCTTGAGTTCAAATTTCTTATTAAGATAACTGGCAGTGCCTGAAATGTCTCACAATGGGCTGTCTGTAAGCTGGAGACATAGGTATAACTTTATTCTGATATCAAATATCTAGGAATCCAGACACTGACACTTGCTTGTGCAATTCCTGGAGTCCAAAAGCAGAAGAGCTTGAAGTGAGTGATCAAGCAACAAAACAGTTTATCCCAGTTCTCACGGAGAGATTTGTCTTGTGTATTTGTCTTGCTTGGGTCCCCCTGCCAATTAGATAATGCTTACCCCACAATGAGGACTGGTCTTCCCAACTTAGTCCATTTAAACTCGAATTCTAATGCCCTCTAGAAATCACCTCAGTATAGGCATTCTTTAACCTTGTGAAGTTTCTACCTAAAATGGCCCCTCAAAGCATTGATGCAGTGCTGTAGGGCATACAGGAAAAAAATCTAGTATATTGAATATGGTAGTATATGTCAGAGGCTAAAGCCAGGAATCAAGTATACTGTTTAAGGTCAGCCTGAGCTATGAGACACTGAGAGAAACCCAAGAAAAGAGCTGAGGGCTTGTGGCCTATAATCCTGAGGAGGTTTGGACTTGGACAACCTTGCTTTGAAGTCAGACTGGGTAAAAACATCCAAGAGACTCAGCTCCAGTTAACCAGCAGAATGCTAGACTAGAGGTGTGGCTCCAATGGAATAGTGGTAGCCAAGATCAAAAAAGCTAGGCAAGAGTACAAGGTTGCCTCGTGCCAGCATCCTACTGTAATTCTAGCTACTAAAGAGGCAGAGGTCTGAGTGCTACTGCTCAAAGCCAGCCTGGGCAGGAAAGGCCATTAGACTCTTATTTTGAATCACCTACTCAGAAAAAGCCAGAAGTGGCACTGTAACTTAAGTGGTAGAACGTTAGCCTTGAGCACCAAGAGGCTCAGGGACAGCCTCTTTGTTCAAGCCCCAGGACTGGCAAAAAAAAAAAGGTACAAGGCTTCAAGTTCAAGCCACCAGTATTTCTTGGGATTAAAAAGACATATACTGGGCTGGGAAGGTGGCTCAGTGGTAGAGCGCTTGCCTTGCATGCATGAGGCCCTGGGTTCGATTCCTCAGCACCACATAAGCAAAAAGGAAAAAAA